TGGGTGGGTAACTATTGGCTGTAAGCCTTCCTACAGCACCTCCTCCTTTTGTTTAAATAAGAGAGTTCTAAGCCTAATAATAATTATATACAATAAGAACAAATATATTCAATAATAATTCTATCCTAACTCGTTTAAGTCTTGTATAATAAATAACTTCGCCAAGTCATGAGAGGAAAGTAACTACAACTATTTAGTCTTCAACCCCAATGAAGATCCAAGAAGGGGAATAATATTACTTGAGCAAGCACGAAGTATAATCAAGCAACTTCCAAAATGTGCAACAAATGACAGAGACAACTGGCTACCTGAGCAATCACCCAAAGTCTCATTTTCAATGTTGAAGCAACCAACTTTGGCTAAGGCCTAGAATAACTGACAGACCATTTTCAGAAGCAGGAAAAATTTCAAAACCGTCTTACCCTGTCTTGGCAAAATTTGACAGTCCTGCTTATCCATTTCCAGATACCATGTATCTTGTCTATGGTTGAGGCATGGGCAGTTCTTTGCCCAAAGGCCAGTTTTGCCAAAAAGAAAACAAGCTCCAAGTGGAGTGTCTTTGGTGCTCAACATTCTCTCGGGAATAGATCGGTGCTGCCAGGAGCAATCATGTCTCACTTCAACAGAACCCTAAATTATTTAAATGCCATATTCTACAGCTCTTTAAAATTACCTATCTATGCAGAATATAATCTCTACGTATCTAAAGAACCTGATTCGTCTAACTATCAGTATGACAAATATGGATGACTATTGATCTATAATTCTTAATACCTATATAACTTAAAGACTAAGAAATCATATTAGAATATTATATAATAAACAACTGTGCAATAAGTAAGGACAATGACTCAAAATGTACACAATGTATAAGTATCTTGATCAGAGGTAAAAATGTACATTGCAATATGATAAATATATATCAATATATAAAAATGTTTTAAGCAGAGGTAGAAGCATGCATACAATATTCAATATAATTTAACTTTCAGCAGTTTCAATATGCAAGACAACTCTTTCTGCATATTGTGGATCAGTAACTATATTAAGAAGTTCTTTAAAATCCCTTAGCTCCATGAGAATAGCATATAATTCTGCCTTCTGGACAGAATTATAAAGGCTTTGTTCCACACAGTCAGACAGTTGTGGAAAGATCAAATAGAACTATAAATGATAAGTTAAAAAACAGAAAGGTATGGAAAATACTCCCAAAATAGATTACATAATGCTTTATTAACCTTGAATTTTCTTAACGCTATGAGAAAGGGACAACAGCAGCAGAGAGACATTGGATAATAGAAAAGTCTTCTGAATTAAATCAGCCGGTGTATTTCCAGGATGTGTTGACCTCACAATGGAAACCAGGAGATGTAGTACTTTGGGGAAGGGGTTTTGCTCTTGTTTCCACAGGAGAAGAAAAACTATGAATACCTTCAAAATGAATAAAGATTTGCTTTGAAAAAGAGAAATCTCTGGAGAAAAAGAAATGACAGCTCATCCACAATGGTGACAACCATACAGGTGGTAAGGAGACCATATAGACTTGGGGCAGGGTTCTGTTCTTGTCTTTGCAGGAAAATACTCATCTTCAAAGAGTTAAGAGACCCTGGACATCTAGATGCTTAAACAGGAAAAGATAATTATCCAGATAGGATCACCACGCAAAGAGAATTATCTCTAGTGAGGACATGTCATCTGAGGGTAAGAATCTCTGAATACTAACTAGAATTCACTTAAAAATCAAAGCTGGCTTTGGAGTTGGATCTGTCCTTCTCTAAATCCAAGCATGTTGTTAAAAGAAAAATTCAGAGTTTCTGTCTCACGTCAAGTGCTGTCTGGTATGGGACAGAAAGAAGAAAGAATTTAGAAATAATTTTACTTTTCTTCATACCTATTTTTGTCTCTATCATACCTTTCATTGAATATATAGATGTCTGGATATGTGTACATAAATTGTGTTTAAGTGTTCCATAATGAAGAATGAATTTCCCTGCTGTAATATTTGAAGTTTCCAAGAAGATGGGGCCCACCACAACTCCACCTGGTTAATATGATGTCATGATGCTGATAGCACTACTACTTTTTTACAATGTTCTGGCCAGAACTCCAAATAGGAACCTCAGAAAATCCCTCCTGAATACTCAGAGACTATTTGCAATTATATCAGACAGTAATCTTAGACGTTACCCGCCCACTTGGGCATGGCCTCTTGTACTATATATGCCAATGTAAAGTGCACGCCTGGCCTCTCTCGTCCGGCTGTTGGATTCGGTTGCTGTTCCTTGGTCAAGCAGAGGACTGTAATCTGTGGATCTTCCCCTAAATAAACAACCCTCTATTATACTCAATTCTGAGCTAGTGTGGCATTTCTTTTAAGCTTCCATATTTACTGGGGTTAGTCACCTGTGATCTAATATAACTGCCCTGGTGAGAACACTCATGTAGGAGTAGGTCTCTTCCACAAAGTGCAGGCAGTTTTCCCACCACCGATTCTACAAATAGCTGGGTTTGGATAGGATAGGTCTCCACAATCTCCATGGGGGCACAGAAGAAAGGCTGCTTTCCTGAGCCTTCCTCTTGACTACATGTGTGGGCAGTCTGGGAAGTATAAGGAGCCTGGCTTCTCTCCATCACCCAGGATGCAAAGGGTATCCTTGAAGCAGTATAGTTTTATTTTAAATGGATTGCATTATTCACAAACTACAAGAGTAATAGGACTATCCCTATATGCCTAAATATTATCACCCCAGAGGGCTCTGAAAGGCCTGCCATATCTCCAGTGTTCTTTCAATCTGATGGCTGATCCCTCCTACATTGTTAGACTACATCTACAAAAAGAAAAATCAAATATATTTACATTCTGAAAGAAGTTTTCTCCAAAACACCAAAAGCATTAAAAGCTAGCAGCCTACAAACCTGACTTAATCTTTTATTATCTTTCATGAGAACTCAAAATATCTTCATAATCACTGCTGTGTACCCATACAATAATGTCTTCAATTTTTCAGAATGAGTATTATACAGATGAAAACTTTCCATATATAAGTAACATGCTTTAAAACAAAAATAGAATATTTGGTCTCTAGCACTTGTGTTTAAATCCTAGTTCCAACGTCTTCATTTCTAACCATAGATAATTCTGGTTTTCAGGGAGGAGCTGAGGCACCATGAAGGGCCTCATGGTGGCTCATGACTGGTAGCTCATATTCTCTGTGCTATATTTATTTATTTATTTGGATTTTCGAGACAGAGTTTCTTTGTAGCTTTTTGGTTCCTGTCCTGGAACTAACTCTTGTAGACCAGGCTGGCCTCGAACTCACAGGGATCCGCCTGCCTCTGCCTCCCGAGTGCTGGGATTAAAGGCATGCGCCACCACCACCCGGCTCTCTGTGCTATTTTAAAAGTCTACATTTTACTTCTTGAACTGATGGTCTAGGTCTTGTGGTACTGATGGTCTAGGTACACAGGGCCTAGAATTTCTTCCACCATTGTGTTTTAATCTTCCTAATAAGCACTATAAAGTTTGTCTTGTTTCACTTCACAGCTAATCAAAATGGAAGCATGTGTAGGCTAAGGTCACAAAACAGGTCAGCAGGAAAGGCAGCATTCCAAGATAAGTGAGCAGCTGTTAACCCCAGGTCTTTGCAGAACATGAACAGTTATGGAGGTCACCTAAATGCAGGCAGATGCCTTCACCATAGCATCTTTCTTTGCAGATTCAAAAATCTAGGCATACGGTGCTAGAGAGATGGCTTGGTGGTTAAGAGTGCAATCTGTTCTTCCAGAGGTTCTAAGTTTAATTCCCAGAAACCACATGATGGCTCACAAAAAAAAAAGAAAGAAAGAAAAAAAGTCTAGGAGTATAGTGCATGCGCGTAACGTAAGCCCTTGGAAGAATGAGGCAGGAGGATGACCATGAATCTGAGAGCAGCCTGGGTTACAAAGGAAAATAAAAAGACCCAGTATAAATAGCAATGACAACATAAAAATAAAATGGAGGAGAATTTAGGAATACCCCTCTCCACTCCACCACCACATAGATGGGTGGATCCCAGTACTCCAGAGTCTGAAGAAAGGTGATCTAGAGTTCCATACCAGCTTAGATGCCGAATGAAGGTGCTGTCAAACAAAAAACAGCCAAACAAACAAAACCTGGAGGATAAGAAGGGAAAAAGCAGAATCAGGTTTAAATTCACAAATGATGAAGAAGAGCGCATAGAACTCAGCAGAAACTGAAAATGTGTGGTAATCCTCCAGAAAATTTATCCAGATAGACAAATTCCAGAAATCTTTTTGGCTAACCTGGTGTCCCAAGAGTCAAGCTTATAATTACATAAGCTGTGTGAGTTATGTCAAAGGCAATTTGTAGAAAGGTCAGAGAATATGAAGGATCTGAGCACTTTTCATGTTTTGATTGGAAGAACAACAAGTGATACTTCCTAGGGTTGTTGGTATAATTAAGACAAATACCAGATGGTCCATCACAGATGACAGACTTTGTTACAGGACTTGACACATCATCAGCTTTGAATAACACTCAACTCCTTTCCTCCCAGTCAGTAGCTCTTCTCTCCTGAGGGTCATTTGATTGTATGTGATTATTTGACCAGAGCCCAAAGGCTTGAGCTGCGAGTTGAATGCTAAACAATGAATTATTTGACCAACATTGAAATTTAAGCGCATTCAGAACTATGCAAGTATGAGATCATTATTAACACAGACTTTGTCCTAGAGAGAGCTACAGAAAGAAAGAAAAGGGAGGAAGGAAGAGAGGAAGGGAGGGGAGGAAGGAAGAAGGAAGGAAGGGGAAGGGAAGGGAATACAAGGGGAGAGGGAGCCCAACCTTCATTCTTACTGAAGTAACAGCTTTTTTGAAAGATACAAAATGTACTAAATGTCTAGGGCTACTCCCTCTAACACTAACACTTTTGTATTTGAAGTCCAGAGTCTGGAAATTGTGTAGCTTCGTGAACACCCCTGTCTTTCTGCTAGGGACCAAAATGCCTGCTGTGTCTGATGTCACTGACAGTCCAGGCAGCGACCAAACTCTGTTGATTTCTGCCTCCTGTAAAGCACCAAGGGGGAGAATCCCTCATAGCCTCCCGCTTTTGCTCCCGCAGCTTTCCAAACAAACTGGGGCGGGATGGGAGTGTCTTCTTGGCTCTGGAAATCAATCCTCCTACCTTGTCCTGAAGCTACCCGCCGCCCTTCCCGGGCCCTCCCTTCTCAGTGATTTTCCTGTCCTGGACTCCGGGCAGGAGCGAGCGGACCCCGCCCTAAAGGTAGGAGCCCCGTGGTGCGGCTGCGGGCCGGGGGTCTCTGAGCTCTCCGCCCGTCTCCGCACTGCACTTTCGGCGCGAACTTGGGGGCGGCGGCCACCGTGCCTCCGGCGCCAGCAACAAGGAGGAGCTTCCAGCCGCGTCGCACGCAGCCTCCAGGACGCGGAGCCGGCGCGGCGAACAGTGAGGGGACCGGCGGCCGTCTCGGACTCGCGGCGCCGCAGCGCCCTGCTCAGCTCCCCGGCCACATCTAGGGAGAAGGAATCGTGCCCGTGCCACCTCGCTCAGGCCTCCGCTTGTCCCCGACTCGGGGACCCGATGCGACAGGCGCCGCGGGACAGACGGCTGCGCGCTGCGGAGAGCGGAGAGCCCCGGCCGTGGAGTCCCGCACATGTCTCTGCGGTCATCGCGCCCGGGCCTCGGCGGGTAACTCTCTGCGGCTGGCCGCGGTGTGGGTTTGCTTGACTAGGGGTGCTGGGAGACCGCGTCCCACATCCAGCTCGGGGTTTGGGGGTGCTGTCCAGACATTCGGCTCTGCAGCCGCTGAGAAGTAGGGAAGGGGGCTTTGTGCGCTCTCATTCCCTCTGTCCCCTGCCAGCCCCTAGAAATGCCGAAGCCATAGGGCCCCGAGACCCTCCAGTAAACTGGGTGTGCAGGGTGCCTGGCCGGGAGCTCTACTGTAGTGTCCTCAGTATCCTGGAGCTGTTGGGAAGAAACCTGGGCGATCAGCACCCAGGAGCACCGGGACCCTTCTCTCCTTAATCTCCCCTGTGCCTGTGACCTCCTCCGACTCTGTGAGTTGGGAGGCCGACCCGGGTCTGTTCCTCGTTCACCATTGTTTGTGAAAGGGGCAAGTGAGTCTGGAAGGTTCTTCTTCTCTCTTACCATACAAAGTTTCCTGAGAAATCCTCCTTGCCACGTTAAAACTAAACCTAACAAAATACCGAGGCAGCTTGTTTGGAACAAAGGGCGACGGTGAGAAAACTGCAGTTTGAGCTGCGGTGAATTTTTAAGATAAGGGAGAAGAAACTTGTTATTTTGCGGTCGTTGCCTCCGGAGCTTCCGTGGGCTTCAGCTCTTTTCTTGTGCACTGTTATTTTGGGTTAAAAGAAAGTCTATAAAAAGCGAATTCTAGAAACTAAAGAAACTCGAAGCGTCTTCTTTTAGGATCTTCAGAGGAAGCCGGGAGAAGGACAGGCTGGGGTGAAGAATTTTGTTGAAAGATAATGTTTAAAAATTGTGTGTGGGCTGGGATGGAAGTACATAGGTGCTAGCCTTTCGGAAACAACACAGAATCTAAATTCTGAAGTCAAATTTGTTTGTAAGGGGACCGACCACCTTAGTACCATGGTGAGAGGATGATTTAGAATGGCAGAACCTTCCTGGCTCTGGTGCCCCATCCTGCTGACCTTCAGGCCTCTTAACACATCCTCAGATCTCTGAGGCCCCCTCTATATTAGGCTTCCCTGACTATTTAACTGTGCGGGTCTTCAAATCGAACTTTCCCTTCCAGTTTCCGACCACAGAACTATCTTTTTGTTCACACGCTGTTGTTAAACATTTGGGAAGGCCTGACCAAGATGTCCAGTTATTTTTCATCAGAAAACATCCTATTTGATGTTTGCTAATGGGTTCCCATTGCCTCCTTTTCATCTCTCCAAGGATTGCTTTTCCAATCAAGATCAGAAAAAAAAAAATCAAAAATTAAAAAAAAAAACCTTAGTTATTTTGACTTTGAATAAGGCTGGCTATTTCAGAGGCTCCTCAGATAAAGGCAGTTTTGGATCAAGGGAACTTTTGTAGGAAATATTTGTATGAACCTGATTTGTTTTTCCAAGATGCCTCTAAGGCTAATATAGCACAGGCCGAGTGGGCATTCATTGCTTAACAGCCCTTTCCTTGAAAAATGTTCTTGCACAGTCCCTATTCACTTTCGGATCCGTCTGGATCATGGGGTAGTAGTGATGCAACTAAATGGGACTGTGAAAATGCTTGACGAGACCGACGGCAGCTACCAATTTTTTTTCTTCTGTCCCAAATCAATACAAAAACGAATGCAAGAATCCAAAAGAATATATGGGCCTGACAGAAGAATGCAATCAACATTCATCAGTCTATCTTTTGTGAGGTTGTAAATCTCAAGTTTCCCATTCCAGAACTCAGTGGCAGAGGGCGGGATTCCACAGCCCCTTCTTCAGTTAGAGATATTTCCATGTTCCACATTGTGAAGCACAAATGAAGAACGCCCTGCTTCCTACACTCCCCGATAAGCATTGTCAGCGCATCACGCAGACTCCAGATGGCTTTCATGAAAATGATGCTCCTTTACAGGGCTGGGGACATCCCTTTGACCTAGATGATGCCACCTGAAGAGGGAGGGCCTGGCAGCATAGAATGTGTGTGGAGCACCCACTTTGGTCCCCAGTGTGTTCTCATGTGTCATTTCATTTCATTTTCCCAGCAATGCTGAGACAAAACATTTAGCCCACTTTCAAAGCTTAAAAAAGAAGAAGACTTCTTTAAGTGGAGCTGGGACGAATCCTGTGAACGTCTGTCTATTTTACATCTTTATGGAACCCTGCAGATGGCACAGCATGTATTCTTCACAAATTCTTCCGTTCTTTGTTTACGTCTTCACACACACACACACACACACACACACACACACACACACACACACACCCTATAGTTTGATCTGGTTGGTGGTTCTTCCCTACACTCCACAAAGGCTTGGAGAGATGATTTGCTTGCTTTGGTGCCCTTTCCATTTGACATTCTCAGACTTTGTTTCTTCTGCAGAGTTTAAGGCACCCGTGGAGACACTGTATCTGACCAATCTAGGCAGTCAGCTGACTCCACCAGGTTATAGTCCAAACTTCTTTGCTTCCTGAAAATATAGCAAGAAGCTCCTTTCCTTCAAAGGTCGGCTGTGTCTTGCCTGTCCATAGTCTTTCAAAATCACATTCTCATCCGTCACAATAAAATGAACCTTTTTCTTGCATACTCCTACTAACATGGATAACAGCATACTCCACAGTTCTGAGTTAGCACTTAGGATTTGAAAATGTATTGGAGGAAGAGGGATGGCTCAATGGGTAAAGGTGCTTCCTATCACGCCTGAGATCCCTTTTGGGGACTCACATGGTGGAAGAAGAGATCTGATCCCAAAGCTGTACAGTGGTGTGGAGCAAGCTTGACTTGTGTGACAGAAGAGTACACATGGCATTGCGTGTGTCAGTTCTCACCGGTTCCCAACTGGGTTGTCAGAAATAGTGGCGACTTGCTTTTCATGAGTGGAAGGAGCTCTTTCCTGATAGGCGATGCCTCCTATTGTAATTACCTCAGACTTGATCTAGAGCTTGCCATGTCCCCCCAGGCTAAGGAAGGCTGAGATTCTGGGAGAGAAGTTATGAGGATGAGAATAAGGAGCCGTAAGATCTGTTTTCTTCCATTTTGGAATTTCTCTTGGTCGTCACAGTGGGAATTGGTGACCTATCTCTCTTTGCCACACTTTTGGATCAGATGCCAGGGGATTTCCTTTCATGGGAAATTGGGAAAAAGTGGGAGGAAATCAAGCATCTCTTAGGAATCCTTATCATAAATGTTGAAAAACAGAGTAGGAAGGTCCTATTTCCCATTTTCTCTTTCTTCTCATATATGTGGATATACATATACAGATGACAACAGTTTTTCAGTCGCATGTAAATACTTTGAAGACTCTAATCATTTATGTGCTTTTTAATCTCATTGAGAATGGAAGGATTCTTTTTTAAAAAAAAAAAATATGGTGAGAACTAAGGCCTCCAGATGAGATGCAGGAAAGTTAGCTATTTCCTCTAGGGTTATTCTTCCTTCCCGGTTGTGGAAGTTGGCCTGGAGTTGGGATGAGGAGGAAGGGAGCTGCCCTAGGTGAGACAACAGAGGAAAGCAGATCCCAGTGGATCTCAGCTGCCTCATTGCACTTGTGGTCATTCATAAGGTAGGGCTTTCTTCAGGTACAGTAAATACAACTTAGTATGTACTATATAGCAAGAGGGGTTCTTAGAGGAGGAGGGCTGCATAGTGTAGTGTCAGACAAAACAAAAGCCTTATGTTCTTTTTTTTAAAAAAAGATTTTTTTTATTATGTATCCAGCATTCTGTCTGCATGGATGTCTGCACACCAGAAGAGGGCACCAGATCTCATTACAGATGGTTGCGAGCCACCATGTGGTTGCTGGTACTTGAACTCAGGACCTATTGGAAGAGCAGCCATCTCTCCAGCCCCAAGCCCTATGTTCTTATAGCGCTTCGTGGGAGTCAGAATCCGTAGCAAAGGTAGAAGTGAATGAAAGGCACATTTCAGATGGAATGGACATTGTAAGGGTGGTGCACTGTGCAGGTGAGGTGAAGAGGAGATGGAGGACAGCCGCCAGCCTCTCTGAAGCGGGGCTATTAGACGAGATGTGATTGAGGGAAGGGCCAGTCAAGTGGAGAGCAGAAGGAAGGCAATTCCAGGTAGAGGAAACAGCAGCTGCAAAGGTTCGGAGATGTGTCGATGGGAGTGTTTGGAAAAGGAAAAGTCAGTGTGGGAAGGGATGCTGGAAAACGTTGCCCCAGGAGAGATGGTGTTCAGGATACCGAAGACTGGCAGATTTTATGGGGCCATCAAACTGGTGCAGGAGCTTGAGGGAAAGTTGCTGGAGATACTTAATTGCAGGTTGCCTTTTCCCAGGGAATTCTAAATCACCCCCCACACACACACACACATACACACATACACACACTGCACAGAGTTGTAGCCTCGGGTGGTTGGCTCACAGTCAATCATGGAGTTTCTTTGTCATCCCAGCCATAGGCATAGGTGTACCCAGGGGCAGGGCACAGAGAACCTGCACTGTATGCCTCACAGCCTCTGGAAGATTCTCACATATTTGTTTTACAACGAACGAAATGCTCCATGTCCCTGTGAAGCCTTTGGATTGGCTGATAATGTCTGAATCCAGATACCAGAAATTAATTATCTATTCAAATTGAGTCATAGCTGAAAACAATTAGCAAGACAGTCGCTTCTGAGAGTGGCAATATTCTAAATAATTCAAAGGCCTTGGCTTCCCTGAATTTATATCTTATCCTCTTTGCAGTCTGTCATCTAGGTTCTTTGTACGGAAATCTTGTCTCTTTGTCGTGGGAAGGCACTATCTGTGACAGCTCCTTCTCCATCCTTCTCCAGACATGATCTTGGATGTGTGAGAGTAGTCCACAGATCTGAGACTTATTATTTCTGATAAAATAGTAGTGCTGGTTTATCAGAAATGCTCAGATGTCTTGTAAACTTCCAATTATTCTTTAATTCCAGAAGGTCTCATGTGACCTGCATACCACCCACTGGGAAAGACTAGCCTAGTTTTTAGAGAGAAAATTGTTTTTGAGATTCTTTGATATGTT